AAGATCACCAATTTTCCTGAAATCAAAGATAGTAAAACACAAACCAACCTCCAAATTATTAACCCACCTTCGAAAGCTTTTGCGTAATCAAGTACTTTGCAGTAGAGTAGAATTGAACTGAAATTGAAACCAAGAAACAATAATCGAGTAATATAGAAATTTTGCTTTTGTGATCAAGAATAGTTTATCAGTTCGATGGTCGGATCAGAAGGCGTGTCTTCTTCTTGGAGACTCGAGAAGGGGACACAACATGTGTGGAAGACCTCTAGATCTCCTTCCTTTCTTTGCAGGCTCGTCTTGAGAATCACAGCCTAGATAGATGCCTGACGATGATCGTTGACAGACACTGGGCGGATGATCGTGAGTCTTCTCAGGGTTGATCGTAGCTAGATGTTGGCTTCTCCTTCTTCACAAGCACGATCCGAGGACAATGGGGAGAAAGGATGGGTTGTCGAGCTCTACTTATCTTCTCTTTTTTCTTAGATTTGAATAGGACATTGGCGGCATGAGAATAGGTCATCAAACTCTTCTTCTCCCTCATCCTATTGCTTCCCCTTCACACATGCCAGAGAGATAGAGAGAGAGAGAGAGAGTGGCTTCATCAAATGTCAGTGTTTACGACGAGTTTCTTTTTCATTTTATAGTCCCCTCTTAATGGGCCACGGGCCATTCTGTTTAAATATCGGATCTAAACCGGTAAAACGGTTGGATCACTGACCCAACTCTATAAATGCTCTCCATAACCCTATAAAGCGAGATCCAATCTGCCTTTAAGGCCCATTATCGGATCCAGTTTGGTTTTATTTCAAGCCCAATAACACATTTTATTTACTCATTAATTTCAAGCCTAAAACAAGTTAATATCACCTATCATTTTATGACTAATAATAGCCTTATTCCTCCTCCTTTTAATCATGAATAAATCATACTAAATTCCAAGAATCTTTCATACTATTAAAAACATCAAATTCCATACAAATAATTTTGATCACAAATGTATTTTCACATTTATGGAAATATCTAAATTACATTTGATATGTTATGGTCATCATTAAAAGCTCTAATACATACTCTCGAGTAAGATAATGGCTTAAATTGGAATATATTCCATGCCCTAATTTATAGACCATTACCCACTTGAGCTTACAAATTTCTCATTTTTTGTCTATTTCCAAAGTCTTTGGCATTTGTATTTTTCTTTAAAAAAAGTAATATTTTGATGCATAGCTTCGTTTCTGCTTTATCCATTTAGGTTGTAAAGATTACATCTTTATAGAGATGTCTCCCATCTTTTGGTCAATACAAAGATTAAACCATTTTTAGTTTACAAATCCTTTTGCTTCTAAGACAACAAGCATGTAAGTGGAGCTAACAAAAAAATTTAATAATTTACCAATAGTTAATGATAATATTGTGTTCCTAGACTTATACTCTACGAATGTTAATGGGTTTGATAAGCAAGATGAGGAATGATGATGATACTCACAATAATGAGTGAAAAAATACATATAATATGATAAAAATTATAAAATATTTAATTAATGCCCACTATTTATCTTTAAATAATGGTATGAAGTTTATCGGTCATTGAATATATCGTACTTTACTTTACTTGGCCCACTCATTTGGTTCATATGACCACCTGTTCCGTTATACCCTTAGAACAGCAAATCCCTCGAACGGCGAGCAAGGTTGATTGAGCATGCGGGCGGATAACGGATCCACTTGGTCGTCGTCGAGTCTTGATAGAATCGGATCCAGTAGGCCTGCCCGCGCGGTTCGGTGGAGGCGAGACGGAATATTTTAGCTGACGTCGCCCTTGGCGGTCAGGTTATCTCCCATTAGGACGGCTTCGATTCGGTGATGGGAGGACGGAAAAGAAAGGCGGTAATCAGATACCGACAGATTCTTCGTCTCTCTGAGGGACTATTATTCCATCATAAGTCCTCATAGTTGATATTAATTTCATAAAACCCTCAGATGCGTCAACACTACAGTTTCTGTTACCTTGGGAGGGAGTGTTCGAGTAAAGGGTGAAATCCGTAAGATGTAGGGGTGTAAAAGAAAAAGTAGCATTTGGACATTTCCATTTTTAGCCCTGGTGGGAGGGTGGAGACCTACTCTCCAATAAAAGCCCAGAACAGAACGCCTGCTCGTCTCCTCTTGTGTGCCCCGGCCGTCCGTCCCCGCTGTTATCTTGGAAGGCGAGAGAGGAGAGCCGGAGGGCGCCCTCACGGGAGCGCAGCGGGAGACGAAGGGGCTCGGCTTGCCAAGGGTTAGATATTCCTCCTGTCTGAAACCTTCACGTGCTCCGTCCATTTTCTCGTGTTCATATTTTTATGCATTCGTTTCTCTTCTCGTTGGTCGATTTGTAAGTTGGTGAAGGCTAGCTCCGTTTTGGTAGATTATTTGTGTTTTTGCCTTTGGATGGTCAGATCTGTCAAGTGGCGCATTCGATCATTGGACTCCGTGTCTGGATTATCAGATCTGAGCCAGGTTGATCGGATCTCCGATCGGCAACCTGTTTGCTCCTGAGTCGGTGCGTAGATCTTCTCATTCGTCGTTTATAAATGATCAGATGAGCATTTGGACTTGATTTCCCTGTTTTTTCGGTGGTCATTTTCATCTTTTAAATTGTCGTTATAGTTTGGTTTATTACATCTCTCGTAAATATATCCTATTGTCAGTGTGACCTCATTGGGTTTTTTTTTGTTACCTGGTCGCGGTATCGATTTTTTTCCGCCGTCGTCCGAACGATTTTTCTATTTACTTGATGAATGGTCAAAATGACTCGTTTTGCTGACCTTTTTGTTTGCGTTATTTTCGTTTATGTTGATGAATCTTAGTCGTTCGTTTCGACGTCCTTTTAAGCCCCTCTATTTGATGAATATTTGTCTCCTTTGTCATTCCTAGTTTTCTGTTCCGTTTCTGTGTTGTGGTTATTTTCTTACTGTTGTACAGCATGTAAGAAAGTTTTCTTCTGTCTGTGGAAATGCTTACATATTTTTTAGTTATAAGCGCTATTTTTTTATACCCTCATGATTCTTGTTGAAGTATTTTGGTCTGTTAGTCGGTATATTATGGCTATTTTGCTCGACTGATTTGTAGCCTTGCTAAGAGTCAGTACTCACTGTGTTCATCTCCTAAGGCCTCGTCATTCTTTCATCATGTGATTAGTGTCCTTCGTTGTCGAGTACTACTCGTTTATGCCGCACAATTTTGGCCAAAGAGCCGTTTTAGTTTGGTTTCTCTTTGTGGATATGATAGAGATTGTTCAACGTGCTATTTTTTCATTCTGCCATTCATATATGCTCAGTTGATGTCATAAATCTTTCTTCAACGCGGAAGAATCATCCTTTACAGAAAGCTCTTTAGCAGGTAAGGATATTGACTGAATTTAAGCTGCAGGTTAGGGAAAAGATATCCCTTTAATGGCCAGATGGTAGACGCAATTGACATTTCTGGTTGACAGCGGGATATCTTACGTATTGACTTGGCCGCACTTTGACAGCGAGATCACAGCTTGAGCATTTGTGGGCTTGGATTATTATTTTTATCTAGCCTTGTACAGTTAAGGATGGCATCCATACTCTTTGAAGTTAAGAGCGACAGTGTATTTTTATTTCCTTCGTTTTGGAGCGAGCAATCATGTATCTTTTCTGTGTGATACGTTAGACATTGGACCCATTGAATATCAGTGGTGGAATGTCTTGGTCATATTTGAACGAACTCGAATTTGATTCTGGTGCCTGCATTGAAACGAAACAAATTCGAGTTCGTTCAAATATGAAATTATGAAACTGAGTAATTAGAGAGTACTAGGTTGTAACATTTGAAAAATGAGTTCTGCAGTGCTTTGCCTTTTTGTGCGGAGTATCTGGTAGGTCTGTGCTAGTGTAAGCAAGTGATGTAGAAGGTTCCTTCACGAGACAGCTCTATCTGCTTTTTCTCTATGATGCATTTGACCTGTTGAATGTCAGGGGTGGAATATTCTTCGTCAAGATGCAAGGGTGACTTGAGTAAACGTTGATTTTGATGCCTGTATTGAAGCAGAACATATCTGATTTCGTTCAGATATAAAAAGTATGAAATTGAGCTCGGAGAAAGTGCTAGGTTGTAACATTTGTAGAGTGAATTCTGGAGAGCTTTGTCTTTTTATGCGAAGGGTCTCGTAGGTCTGGGCTAGTGTATGCAATTGGTGTAGAATGCCTCTTCATGAGATAATTCTATCTGCTTGAGGGATGGAGGGGAGAGTGACACATGTACCCGTGCTTGTGTTGTCAGCTACATGGACAAGGAGCTCGTTGTGGACAGCAATACGCTGATGAACAAGACAATGGACGGCAGGGATTGCGAATATTGATAGGGGCACTTCAGTATGGGAATATCACTGGCTTTCCTTTGAATCTGTAGCTGCTTTCCCGTGGACGTGTTTTATGGGATCTCGGGTGGGTGGATCTCCTAAAAAGTATGTAGATTTTGGAGATACACGTCCGTCCTTTTTGTGGTGATGTTAGACACATCCATACATGATTCCAACCTCCTCCAATGAAGGTTGATGAAATATGGCGAGCTATTGCATTTTAGCATTGAAATCTTGCCTATAAGCCGGCACAGACGTGTTTATGTCCGCCGCTGCCTTGTGTAGATAGGACTTTCCTCCAAGGTAAAGTATTCAACCTGGAAGGTAAGCACGGGACCTGACGGTCAAGCATGTGACTGCTTTGCTCAATTATTGGGTCGGTCTTTTGGGTCTGGACTAGATTATTTGGCTATGAACTTAATGACTACTTGATTAATGCGTGTGATTTTCTTCCCTTGATCTTGAACCATCTTCTATGTTTCTTACATTTGCTTGCAACCCGAGTATTACGTTCTAAAACTATCTGCATCTGCTTGTTCTTGTCATCCACTTCTGATTGAGTATTTGTTGTGTCGCTGACGATTTAATGTTGTTTTACTTGTTTCTCCTCTTTAATGTTTATAGGGCGTTGCAAGACATGGCTTCTGATAAGCTCAACCATCCCACCGTCCTTCAGAAGGCTGCTGGGCAGCTTCATCTTCGCTCAAGCTTCTCACAAGATGTGCTGGCCCGAAACCATGGTTTCTATGGACCTGCTCTGCACGAGAGGAGTTTCTCAAGCGGCAGGTACACTAATGGGGCCCTTCAGACTCCCCTGATGCAGTCGTGCAGAGCCACCTGCGACCTCTCTGCCCTGGCTCCGGCATCCCCTGTGTTCGTCAATGCACCTTCAGAGAAAGGATTGGCCGCCTTCGCCACTGATTTTCTCATGGGTGGTGTCTCTGCCGCCGTGTCCAAAACCGCTGCCGCCCCCATCGAGCGTGTGAAGCTTCTCATCCAGAATCAGGACGAAATGATCAAATCCGGTCGCCTTTCTCAGCCTTACAAGGGAATCGGCGAATGTTTCAGTAGAACTATCAAGGATGAAGGTTTTGGATCACTGTGGAGGGGGAACACAGCTAATGTCATCCGTTACTTCCCAACCCAGGTTCGTCCGAAAAATCTTATATATAGTTCATAAATAATTCTATCAGTAATCTATTTGAGTATTCAATCCTTTTTTGCCGATGCATGCTTTCTGTTTCAACAGGCCCTGAACTTTGCATTCAAGGACTACTTCAAGAGGATGTTCAACTTCAAGAAAGACAGGGATGGTTACTGGAAATGGTTTGCCGGAAACTTGGGCTCGGGAGGTGCTGCCGGTGCCTCCTCCCTGCTCTTCGTCTACTCTCTCGATTATGCTCGGACTCGGCTGGCGAACGACGCCAAGGCTGCAAAGAAGGGAGGGGAGCGGCAATTCAATGGCCTCGTCGACGTCTACCGGAAGACCATGAAGACCGATGGCATTGCCGGCCTCTACCGAGGCTTCAACATCTCCTGTGTCGGCATCATCGTCTACCGAGGCCTCTACTTTGGAATGTACGATTCGCTGAAGCCGGTTTTATTGACCGGAGATCTCCAGGTACCTGCATAATTTTTTTTCCTCCTGAATCATTGAATGTTCGTTCAATTGCTCTCTTACTAAAGTCAAACCCTCTCGTTCTCATGATTATTATTACAGGATAGCTTCTTCGCTAGCTTTGCCCTCGGGTGGCTGATCACCAACGGCGCCGGCCTGGCGTCCTACCCGATCGACACCGTCCGCAGAAGGATGATGATGACCTCCGGCGAGGCTGTCAAGTACAAGAGCTCCTTAGACGCCTTCTCGCAGATCCTGAAGAACGAGGGCGCCAAGTCCCTCTTCAAGGGTGCCGGTGCTAACATTCTCCGTGCCATCGCTGGTGCCGGAGTGCTCGCTGGCTACGACAAGCTGCAGCTGGTCGTCTTCGGCAAGAAGTACGGCTCCGGCGGCGCCTGAGCCGGCGCTCCCCGGTGTCCACAGATGGTGACGAAGATCGTCGGGCCGAGGTCCTCTTCAGTTCCCCCTAGAGGATTTTTTTTTGGGTGAAATAATTGACCATTAGCGGGAGATTCTCCCTAGTCGTCTCAGGTTGGAGCTCTCGCTCTCCAAAAACTTCTCTCTGCTGCTGCTATCTGAATAGGCTGGTAGTCATAATATTTATCTATCAACCGCCCCCGGCATGGCTCTGGCTTTCCTTTTGACCAGTTCAGTCATGAAACTCTTTGAACTCAATCCTTGATTCAAAAACATTGAGTCCATTCTCTTTCCCGTTTTAAACCCCCTTCCCACCCCCCCTCTCTCTCTCTCACCCTCGCCGCTCGCCGGAGATGGAGACGGCATCTGACGAACCAGAGATACGCTGAATTTAAACCAGGGGCAGTTTCTTCACAACGATAATATGTTTAGTTCACGGCATCATCAGCCAATATGCACGAGAGAATCAGACAGTATTCCGACCCGCAAACGCATCGGCCGTCGCTTTAAACCATTCGAGATCCGCCGATCGCAATGTCTTTGAAAAACCATTCGAAATCCGTCGCTGCGCTGCGCCCGTGATCCCGGCTCTACACCTGCGGGCTGCTCTGAAGCTATGAAGATGACGATTCTGTTCTTCAGGTCCCAGATCATCATCACAAGTGCCCACCCGTCGGCCCCAACTCACCGGGGTCCTCTCCCTGAATAGCCGAACTCTGGATCCTATCAGTGAAATCTTGGTATTGAGAAAATATACCGACCTTAATGGGAGCCTCAGCATCCCAAACTCCTCATTATGCTGGTCAGTCTGTCGATGACCACCTGAGGATCGGCGTACGACCCGGCCAGATTTATTGGGTGGTACTCCATTCCTTTCCACTCCGAGATCAGCTGAAAATGGGGTCGTCGGTACTGACTACTGAGGATCTCAAGAACAACCGTCTTCGACCCCGCTGCGACGAGGTGGGTGAGACCGGCCCCGTGAGCCCCTACGACGACCGAGGCCCCGAGAATTGCCTGGAGTTGGTCCCGCATCTCCATGTGAGCAAACAGGCCGTTGACTAGCGTGAGGTTGCAGCTGCTCCTGTGCCGAGCCACCCAGCTCTGCAGAGCATCAAAAACCTCCTGCTCGTTGCTCAGACGAGATTCCACCCGCCCGCTGTGCCGCGGGTGGGCCACATAATCTTCCCGGCGCACGAAGAGAATGCTGTGGCTGCCCGAGAGTGGCGTTGGCGCCGTGGGGTCATCGGTCCGAAGGCCGAAGGCTGCTCGGATCATCTCTCCGAATTCGGTCAGTCTTGCCGTTCTCCGATCATTGGGTTTGTCTCTGAGGACATGGGCCCTTGTTCCTCGGCAGCTGAAACTTTCGGATAGGCCTTTGAACAGAGCTGTCTCGTAGCCAAGGGGGGAGAGGATTGCATGGCGGAAGCATACAGGCCCGGTGAAGTTTTTGGCATAGCGGACGCTCGAGAACAGGGCTCGCCAAGTGTCTTCCAGTGATGTCTGCATGAAGAAGGCAATCATGGTGGCACAAGTGGTCAGCAGGCTCAAACCCCACTCAGAGAGAGAAATCTGCCCGCCCCTGGTTGTTGAAACCATTCTGAGTAATTCAAGCTATTTTCTATGAAATAATTGATATTTTTTACATTAAAATTTTTAATATCTAAGATATGCTTGCTATAGCACAAACGATGTCAAAATTAATGGCCAAGGCCCACACCCTGCTCTTTTCCAATATGTATAAAAACAGTAAAAAAGGATATGAACGATCTCTTCACTTAAGAGGAGCTGTGCAGGGAAATATGAAAGAATTAATCAGGTCACTTACCCTGCAATGGCCATCAACAAATATCAAATGAGGCCGATAGGGCAAGTTGGCGACCCTTGAGCTCGCGTATGCACTGTACCAGTCGGTGACCGTATGGAAAAGGTTTGCATACTCAAAGCGTGTCACCAAAACTGTCGGTTCATCAATCCACTGCAATAGAAATGGACTAACATGAAACAATGATGTGGATAATGTGGCAGGCCACCAGAAATTAAGATATTTTCTCCACAAAAAACCCACCAAGCTAATAGATTTCTTCGTCCGTTTTCAAGGGTTTAACTGAATGATAATCAAATCAATTGCCCATCAATCAGGCAGTTTAAAAACGTCTGCTTGAATAAGCATACTCTGATCATGGATAACATATGGTTAGCAACACCTACAGACTAAGAATTGCTTGGATAATCAGAAAAGCAACAACAGCTCAAGACAGCTTGCGACAGTTTACTACTAATAGATAGCTCTTCATCGCCATCCACATCAATAGAGAAAAAGAAAGAAGAAAGAAAACTGAGGACGATCAGCACGAACACGATTATGATGATAGGAATGACAAACTAAGAATCATAAATTACCTACAAGGATGCATCCTCATACATTATCGAATTCTCCACTCAGAAACATTAATTCTCAGATGAAGTCTATTGCATTACTGATTACCAAGCTAGGAGATGCATGGAAGTCTACACAGGCAATCATAATTCTTAATCATCATCAGTTTTTTATATCAAGTCGTTCCCTTTTTTCACCAAGGACCTAAAAGAGATGCGATACAAGGGATCTACAATCAGAATTATTTTTCAGAATATTTTCTCAATTATTTCGAGGCCAACCTAGCTGTAACCTACCCAAGAATTCGAATTATAGAGTCTTGGTTCCATGAAACCGATCATCGAACTGGCGCTTTCTTCACCAACACATCGTTGGAGATATGAACAGCTCAGACTATCCAAGCATAGGTAATGAGCACATAATTTGAGAGCTTTCAATCAAGGGATCAGATTTCTCCCTACCATCTTAAACTTAATGCCACCAATGAACACAGAAATTCCGTGGGAACAGATGAGAAAGCTGACCTGAGAGCACTGAAGTTCGCCGGGACCTACAATCTGGATCGAACTGATGAGATGGCGCATCGTGTGTGAATGGATGGCACCCCGCGGTACAACATTATCGAGTACCTCCTCGGTCATGATTCTTCCTCCGGTCTTCCCATCGCCGCTACGGCCAGACTCAATCTGGAACGATCCCGGCTCAAATTTGGGCAGTTCCACCTCTTCCTCCCTTCTCATCACCTCCTCCAAATTCTCCCCACCTGTCGACATCCTAATCCGCTGGGGATCCATCCGCAAACTCCCTCCCTGGCAAACCGAGCTACGAAGCGTCTCGCTGTAGGAACACCGGAACCACCCTCCGCGACCACCCCTGGAAGAGCCCCCCTCTACCTGCTTCAGCATCTCGATCTGGCGGGAGAAGCCGTTGCCGAAGTACGCCTCGCAGGAACCCCGAGCGGGGTTGGACTTCGGTACCCATGGAAGAAAGGAGGGGAGGGTCGGCCAGGGTTTCAAATTCTCGGCCTGGAACCTTTCCACAATCGGTGGGCTGTCGTCGGCTGAGGGATTGGGGTGGTGCCGCAGAACGTAGAGGAGGGAGAGAAAGTTGATCAAGAGGACGATGAGGAGGGGTTTCGCGACGGTCCTGACCCTGCTCCCTCGCCAGTTCACCATCGCTGCCGCTTTCTCTTCCTCCTCGCCTCCTAGAGGTTGGTACAGACTCCAGTCATCAGGAGCTCAGCTCGAGTCCGGCCTGCTAGCCGCCATGAGATCTCCCTCCACGCAGAACATTGAACTCTCCGCTCCCCTCTCTCTCTCTCTCTCCCTCTCTCCCCCTCTGCCCCCTCTCTCTGTTTCTGTCTCTCTCTGTCTCTCCTCTCTCTCTCTCGCTAGAATACAATTTTCCTCTCTCATTAACGCTGCCGTCGCAAGCCCAGGTAAGATATCCATTTTATGACCCAATTTCAGCCCTCGGGCCCATAAATTACAGGTTCGAAGATGGGTCAGGCCCAACCCGAGGCCCGGACCCGGTTGATACCGAACTCAGGCCCATATCGAACCCCTAATTGCGGTCTGTTAGGACTGGAATACACTGGGCTACCCTTAACTCGCCCCCCCGGTTATGGCACAGCGAGAGCGAGCGAGCGAGAGAGAGAGATAGAGAGACCCCAGATGGGTGTTTGACTAGAGTTTAACCTAATTAACCCTAGCCGGTTGTCAAAACTGGCCCTTGGTGTTTACTGGTCCGGTCGAAGTCGAATGACTCCATCTACAGAGAGATGTAGAGAGAGAAAAAGACATCTACATATAATATAGATATATGCATAGAGAGAGAGAAAAAGAGAGGAGAGATATTACTTATGATATATAGAGTACAGATATATTTACAGGGAGATGGATATATATAGAGAGAGAGAGAGTGCATTAGGTGCATTAGGTGGCTTTAGGGGCACTTGAGGCGGCCGCCGTGGGTCGTCATCTTAGCATAGCAGGGGCATACGTCGCGGTTGCCGGCGGTGCCGGGGGGGACGCAGTTGCACCGACGGCAGCACGTGCCGCAGGCCCTCGTGCACATCCTCCACCTCGACGCCTTCCGGCACCTCGCCGAGCAGGCTCTCCCGCAGTCTGACAAGGAGGGAGAACACGACGATATTACTTGTAAGGAAACGTAAAACCCTAAGCCCTACGATTTTCTCAGTTTCTATAATCAGAAATAATCAAAGCAAGAATAGTTGATCAGGGCGAACCTATGGTGGGCAGGAGGGACCTTCCTTCGCCGGCCTCGGCAACCTGAAATATATGGAGAGCGCGTCAGCAGCCTCAAATAGTAAGGTAATAAACAACCTGAATATGTATTTCGAGATGGCCCCCATGCGCCTGCGTGGGTTTTTAATGGACAGTCGGCAGAGGAGAGATAAGAGAGAAGGGTGGACTCCGAACTTTCTCTCTCTACCCACCTGCCGTCCCAGGAGCTGGAGGGCGACGAGAGCCAAGAGAAGAGCCGCGAGCGGAAGCTTTGAGAGACCCATGTTGACACAGAGATAAGAACGGCATCGGCGGCCTGGACCACCTTCGTTTATAAAAGGGTAGAGAGAGAGAGAGCCGTTGGATCCTGTGGGTCGCCTCGTGGAGCCTCGGGGAATGAGAGATGGGCGGCAAAGTGGCCACAGCTGGCTCCATTTGAGATGTGGAAGCATCTAGACTGGCGGCACCGTCGTCGGCGGCGCCGCCGGAGAAGACCGACTCCCCATGCCCCCAGCGCACTGAAACCTCTCTGGAGGTTAAAGAAGACGACCAAGGTTAGTCAAGAACATATCAGTGAGCTCGTATCCGAGAGCGATTTCTAGCAGCTGTGGCCGGTTCTTCTATGTGGATGCTTTCCCCGGTAATTAAGGGAATAAATGAGAAATATTGATGCAAGTTTCTTAGGTGGGGAATAATAAAGTTTAAAGCTTATTACTCGATGATAAGGGCAAATCAGATTTATGGTTTCTGCGAACTTCACATTAAACGGTTCACGGATTCAACTTCCTATTTTTCTTCTTCCTTCACTTACATCGTGGGGACAGTAGTCAACTTCATGCAGAAAGCTTGGAAGCACTCGAGCGGCTCTCGGCTGGTGCCGCAATTGTCTTCTAGTGTGTCAGAGAGAGTATCAATCTAAATACGTAAAGGAGGGCGCGGAGAGTGAGCAGTGCATGTCTGGGGCGGTGATTGTCTTCTAGTTGCCCGTAGAGAGGGAGAAAGACTATGAATCCATCGATTTGCGTGTTCGTTCATACATGTAAGGCGAGAGAGAGAGAGAGAGAGGATGGGGTGCGTGTGTACATAGAAAGAGCACCAAAACTTCTTCAGGTCAGATCGATGTAATGGAGTCGAACTCGAAATTAGGGAGATAGAGAGAGAAAGAGAGAGAGAAGTGCAGTCGTAAGGGAAAAGAGAACCCGCCATTCTACTGATGGCATGTTATTTTGAATATTATTCATTGCCAGCTACTTTCATGTACAGACGCCAGCATGGACTCCACAAACATGTTCCTGTATAGACGAAAGACTCTTTGACACCAACATGTAGAGAGAGAAAGAGAGTTTCTCTCAAGCGCGTTCTCTGGTCCGTCCCGCTTCAAGGGCACTTGGGCCTGCCCCCCCGGGTGGTCATCCTGGCATAGCACGGACAGACCTCCCTGTTTCCCGCCGTCCCCGGCGGCACGCAGTTGCACCGGCTGCAGCACGTCCCGCAGGCCCTCTTGCACAGATTCGGCCTCGACGACAGCCGGCACCTGCCGGCACACGCTCTCGCGCAGTCTTCAAACCCGCCGAACCAATCAGCTTAAGAAGAAGAACAAGGACAAGAAGAAACACGTGGAGGGCGAGAAGACTTACCCATGGTAACCAATATGGACCCTTCCTTCTCCTTCTCCACAGCCTGAAACAGAGACCCGTCACCCATATTGTACATCGGAAGAAAGTTCTCTCTCTCTCTAGAGATGCTCTCGGAACTTACCGTGGTAGGATGAGAATGCACTGTAAGGGCGGCGAGGAGAGAGAAGATCAGGCAGACGAGGAACACTCTGGAGAACCCCATCGGAGGGCGGACGTGGTGAGGAGGGAGGGCTTCAGAGGTACGAGAGGAGGATGAGAGAGAAGCGGCCGTGCGGAGTTATATATAGAGGGGAAAAAGAGGGGGGGAAGGGTGTCGGAGTAGGTGGCGCCAGAAAAATTATTGGCTGCGCCGCCGGCGGATGGGGTTTAGAGAGCACTTAGCTTTCCACAGGTGTGGTGACCTGTTGTCCTCTCGGACGAAGGTTTCCCCGTGGGCTGGACGCGGTTCAGGGTGGGTTGGCGCCAGCTGGAGGTGTGGTCACGCACCCCGGAGAGAGCAGACAAGTTCTTGACGTGCGGGAGAGGCCCACTGGCCCATTGACCCTGGTCAACCAAGAGTGGCCCCACGGGGCTTGCTCTTTTGTGGACATCCCCCCGTACCCTACGTAAATAATTTCGTTAAAGCAAGTAAGTTTCAACTTTATTTGGGTAGCATTGTACCGTCAATTCTTCCCCACCAAAAAATCTCCTTTTTTCCCATTTCCTAAAAAATAAAATAATAATGTGGACCAGCTAGAATAAACTAAGGATAAAATAATATGTAGAATAAACATATTTTACTATTTTTTCAATAAAAATGTATATTTTTTATTTTTTCCTCCTTTTTTTTAACGTGCAATTATTAAGTATAGCTGCCTCTACGGAACATTATTGCACTTATATGTCTATTTTTCTCATATTTTGCAGTGGATATTCAATGAAAAATGGGGACATCTGGGCATTAATGGGCCTCTCATCTAGAAAACAGGGAAGCCCGAACACAAAGAAATCAGGCTACCTACCCATTTAATGGGCTGCATGCCGACAGCCCATTAGCACGAACACGCATGTCGTGGGCAATGGCGTTATGGACAATTATTACAGATCGTGGGCCCATTTTTAAAAAAAATCCATATTTCTATATCCACATTAAAAATTTCTTTAAAATAATGCTTCCAAATGCGAGCACGGTTCCATCTCGAACGGCTTTTTGTGTACATTTATGCACCAAAATTATTGGTGCCCACCATAAATTTATGAAATTTGTTCCTTTTTTGAAATGTAAATCCCCCACCCTCCTTCCTCACCTCTCTCTCTCTCTCTCTCTCCTCTCTCCTCTCTCTGGACGGGAGTTGTATGGGACGATTTCCGCCATTGCCAGGAGGACAGAGAGTTGACGACGCCGAGATGAGGACCTTCCGCCGGTTAGATGTTCCAGTTCGTCCCGAAGACGGAGGCTCCTGGAAGGAAGCAGGAGAAGGAATGAAGTAATGGAGAGATTAATGGAGCTCTCTGGAATCGGCGTTCAATGGTAAACTGGAAGTTGAGGAGAGGTCTTCTTCACCGAGGGTTGGCATCAGGAGGGACAGCGCGCCGAGGGCTGCCACCTTGAGCGGCAGCCCCGTCTTGACCATGTCCATGATCTCGATGCGACCTGTGGCGAGGGCGATGATGTTGGAAGGCGTCCCTGTGGGGAGGAGGAAGGCGAACTGGGAGCCCACGCCGCCGGGCACCATGAGGAGCAGTGGGTGGGCGCCCATGGCCTTGGCGAGCTCGATCAGCAGGGGGACGACGAGAATGGTGGTGGAGTTGTCGGAGGTGAACTCGGTGATGGTGCTGCTGACGAGGGCGACCAGAAGGGGGATGACCGCGCGAGGGGTGGTCTTCACGAAGCCCAGCCAGGCGGAGAGGGTGTCGGCGAGGCCGCTCCGGTGAACGCCGTCTCCGATGGCGAAGCCGGCGCCGAGAAGGAGGACGATGTTCCACGGGAGCCTCTCGCACTTCTTCCAGTCCATGAGCTTCTCCCCCGGCATCTTCTTGCTCGGGATCACGAACAGCAGCGTCGCCATCATCACCTGCGCCGCCCAGGAGGTCGTCGTCATGCTCGGGATACCAGTGAGAAGAAGAGAACATAGGAACGGCGCAGATGAGGTGGGAGCAGTTTAGAGAGAGAAATCGTGTAATCTGAGTTTCGTGTGGAATGAGCAGAACACGCCTATCCGGAGAAGAATGCGGGCAAACCATAGATTTTCACAAAAAATCAGATTATAATCTATAAAAAAACTTCTTTAACATTTAATCGATATAGGTCTTTTCTGGATCTGAGCTTACGCTAACGGTGCCATCGCCGACGTTCCCTTTGAAGAGAGTCCCCCACCCTGGTACTTCGTCCGTGAGACTTCTCGTCATCCAGAGCAACACCAGAGTCTGCAGAGCGAGAGCGAGAGAGAGACATAGAGAGAGAGAAAGAGAGAGAGAGATTAGGTGTGGTACGAGGAAGAAGAGTGCGGCAGAAGATGATGGGCTTGTATACTCACCGAGAACACAATTAGGACCGCCTTTTCCGCGAAAACCATGGGGCCTGTGCTAGAGAAAGGCGAACTATAAGAGAAGAGTGATCCGAAGTAGGTTTAATGGCGAAGAATGACGGCTCACCGAGATTTTCCAGCTCCCTTTTCAGGTGGGTCTTGTCCATGTGGGAGGAGAGGACGTCGCTGGAGCTCTTGGAGCAGTAGAAGTAGCAGAGGATGCCCCAGAGGCAGAAGAAGATGAGGAGGGCCAGGGGGAATCCGAAGAAGAACCAGGTGCTGAAGCCAATGGGCTTCGCCGCAGGGAAGTAGCTCCGCCAAATCCCCACCAGCAGGAGGTTCGCGCCGGTGCCCGTAACGGTGCTCATCCCGCCGATCGTCGCCGAGTAGACCACTCCGAGCACCACCGCCTTGGAGAACCGGATCACGTCCTGGTGCCCTCCGGCGGCGGGGAGCCGCTGCAGAATCCCCATCGCCACTGGCATCATCAGCATCGTCGCCGCCGTGTTGTGCATCCACATGCTGACGAAGGCCGTGGTGGAGCAGATTCCCAGGAGGAGGAGAGGCGCGTTCATGGCGTCCCCCCCGTAGAAGGCCAGGCTGATCTGCAGAGCAGGGGGGCGTATTAGTCAGATCTCGCCAGCGATTGGGGGGGTTGGGGCGGCGCTCTGGGGTGGAAGCTCACGTTGAGGGCGAGGCGGCGGTGGATGTTGTAGTGCTCGACGGCGATGGCGAGGATGAATGTCCCGAGGACGAGGGAGATGATGTCGTCCATGTAGGACTTGGCGACCTCCTCGGCGGTGGCGATCCCGAACAAGGGGAAGAGGAAGAGTGGCGCCAAGGAGGTGACCGGCATTGGCACCGCGTTTGTCAGCCACCAGACGAAGATCCACGCCAGCGCCGCCAGCACGTCCCGCGCCATGGGCTTCCCGTCCACCACCACCACCAGCCTCACCACCGCGCAGGCCGCCGGGCCGAGGAGAATCCACAAATAGTTTCCCCTGAGCGCCGGCTGCGATGGCGACCCAGGCGGCGGGGCCGCCGCCTGGAGGGGGAGAAGAGGTTCGCCGTCGCCGCCGTCCCCGCCGTCGCCGTCGGAAATCGATTGGTCCTTCATCGTCCTCACCGGCGAATGGTCCGGCCAAATCTGAGCTATCAGAAACGGAAGGAGGTAGCTAATGGGGAACGGATTAAATCGGAAATTTCCAACAGGGTTGGCGGATGTTGATCAAATGCCCACGGCGTCTCCCTTTCCTGGCGAGCCTGGTCGCTCTCTTGAGTAAGACGAAGAGAGACTACGTGGCCAGAAAACGTGCACGTGCATGCTGACCTCTCTCTCTCTCTCTCTGCCTGCGCGGCACGCTGACTGGTGGAGAGAGAGAGAGAGAGAGAGAGTGCCATTGTCAAGGGTAAACATATCATTTACTTCTCTCAATAATTGATCACCATAATTCGTGGAAACGGATTCCTGTTGACTGGTCAACGGAGGGCTTCTCCCCTCCGTTGAAAGGAGATTTTGGCAGTCTAATCCTTAATAAACTCGGAAAACAGGGTGGACTTTTTCAGTATCGAGGAGATTAAAACTGGCTGGCCCATGAATTGGGAGCCGATCCCCATCTCACTCGAATTTCAGGTCAAACAAGAAAAATATCAAACTTTTTCCTGCAAAACAAGGAATAAAGAAACTCCATTTTCACCATAAATTGAGGCATTACAAGCTTACAAAACAATGCCTCCGAGGTCAACGGAACCCAGACAGCTTGGAAACCAGGAAGAATGACCCGCAAACGGAGAAAAGGTCAGAGCAACAGGTCGATTGAGAAGTGATCACGAGTTGTAGAATACGGATATATATAAATTTATATAGACGTCGGCGGTCGTCGGGGACTCTTTAGATGAGCAAGAGAGATACCAAGGTTGTCCCCAGGAGAAGAACGGCGGCGGCTGCGAGGGCCGCCGGTGGTCCTACCGGGGCCAGCGCAGGAAGTACGGAGGAGAGGGGGATCGGCATCGAAGGCAGCGGCGGCTCGACAATGTCGCCGTCCGCCAGGGACGGCGGCGGCGGCAGTGCCGGCAGTCTGGACATATTCACCAATTCGGTTGGCGTGACGGGCGTCCAGTAAGGCGGAGTGCTGTTGCCCCCCGAACAAGGGCTTCCTGCAAGAATGTCAAATCCCTCAAGGAGTGAGAATCGCCTACTGTTCTTCCCACGGGTGGCGCAGCAGGTGAAGATCGAGAACAAAAGAACCCTTACTTCTGAAGGCCTCCACCGTCGCCGGAAACTCGGTGATCAGGCCCTCCACGCCCGCCCCCTTGATGAATAGGTTGATGTCCGCGATCGGGTCGTTGTACACGTCCCACGACACCGACACGAACTCGTTCTGGAACAGGTAGGTGAAGACCGGGAGCTTCTCGGCGTTGAACTTCTCCACGACCCTGGTTTTGTTCAACAGGTACTTTATGTTGTCCAGGCATATCGACACCTTCGATACGGCCACGAAGGAGGCGAACTCCGCGATCTCCTTGACGGCCGACGCCTCGACATCGCGAATGAGCTCCTCGATCTTGTACATGAGCTTGTAGGAGGAGTTCAGCTGCTGCACCTTCCTCAGAGCAGAGCTGTTCGTCGACTGGATGATAACCTCCTGCTTCAGGTCCGACGCGTTCAACGCTTTCAGCACCTCTTCGATCACGCCGAAGCCAAGGTTCTCCAGCAGAAAAGGAGCGTGCTGCAGGACCAGCTGGATGGTGAAGAACAGGAACATAAAAACGTGGGAATAAGGATCAAGTTCTCGGGGCTGTATGACCCCGATGTGATGACGAAACCCATTTCCAAAATCTGAGCTGGACGTGAATGTAACATGAATATAGTTCCTCATTTTTATGGGTTCTAAACTGACGCGGTGATCTCTATTTTTACATGAAATATCCAGGAACCCTCGCCAAAATAAGGACACAGTCTCACAAGAAGTGAGAGTAGACTTTAATGCCAGAAACACTGCTGCTGTTAAAAAGCAGTAGGGAGTTGACTTTTAGCAGTAGTCTGGTAAAGGCGCGAGTTCTACATGGCTCCTGCGTCTTTGTGACATGACATAAAATGCAGGGTAAAAGGCAGCTACCTCTATGTTGATCAAGACTCCAGAACGAGGGGGGTTTTCCTTAGCGAGGGCCAAGCACTCGGTGAGGTTCAGGAAGGCTCCTGCGTTGCTCTTCGAAGGGTTCCGCCGCAGTCCATACAGGCCAAAATACGGCATTGATATTTCAGCTGCAACGAGGAGGGACAAGCATCCGTAAGTAAATATCCGCGCTTCAGAGAATTCAAGAAACGATGCTGGTACTCCAGCTTCAAGAGAGGAATTTGGCACCGAAGTGTCTTACTTAATCCGCTCATTGGTAGCATGAGGAGGTTGACTTACGCTTTAGATTTGTCTGAATCTCTTCCCACGTAAAGTTGAAGGTGTATGCCCCTGGAAATACTCTTGATCGCCGGGATTGTAGAAATACGGGTACTGACGGAAGAATTTGAGATTGTGGTGCTCGAGAAGAGATCTATATCAGGCATGCAGACCATCTTCCACAGCCTGCTTGTATGCCAAATCAGTGCAGGACGGGAACATTCCGCCAGCTCCACCGTAGGAAATCACGACGGGTTTTACTGAAGCAGAAATGGAGTTTAGAACAGCCGGAGGCTCGTTGTTCATGCTATGAATCCTTTCAGATTCCGAAGACAAGTATGATGACAAATGACTAGAATGGTAGTGGTACCAGAAGGAGGCACGGAGTTGTTAATGTGAGACAGGCAACCTGCAGAAGCATGGAGAAATGCCAGTCAACATAAGAATTAGGAAAAGGTAAGAATTCTATGTAAGGCTAAGATAACAGTGATCAGGCTCAAATGAAGGAAGAATGAAATTCGGATTGGTGTCTCTGAACTAAATCTTAGAATTTAAAAGTTCTACAGCCTCATCTCTGTTTTTATTTTATTTTAAGGATTATCATATTCGTATTGATTCATGAATTGCCCAAATATGATCAGAAAACGGACGACAGAATCCAATCGGGTCTGCCTGATCTCCGAATCGATTCAAATAACATCTTAGAAAATGAAGGACAGAAAAGGCTTATCTTGTTTCCAAAGTTCGGGTGAGTTCCCCGCTGGTTTCCAGATGGGATTGACACCCTAACCCTGATTGGCTCAGGCCGATCATGGAACTGACCTCGATTGGGTTTCATAACTTGTCAGCAATCTTTTGAGAGGCATAGGTTTAACAGGGGAGACGAAACAGGTAATCGAACAGCATACCTATCGCCGCAGATGCAGTGAGCGGGGAGTCCGTCAGCACGCCGTCGACTGAGAAATTACCATTGTCCACGAAATTCAGATATTCCTTCAATGGATCAAAACTGTAGTCATAGGCGAAGTTAAAGTCGTTTGCAAAGCCTGCTGCAAAGACTTCCAAGCCAGCCTTGCAAAAATCCTGCACAACAGATGTGCTAGCAGATGCCAGTTCAAGATCTTCATTCACAGGCCAAATGTAATTCTTGGGCACCATAATTCCGGATGCAAACGTGCTGATAAAGGTCAAATTGTTCAACAAGGACCCGTAGGCTAGCCCTGTCGATGGCTCCAGCTCGCCTGATTCAAGGAAACGAAAGACAGCCTGCGTGTTGGAGTCATTCAACCGTGGAGCTACTCGTCTCAGGAAAGACAGCTCCGGCGATGACACGTAGTCAACAGCGAAGGTCCTCGTAATATTGAGCAAATAGCTCATCATGTTGAGCTTATGATCTGTGTAGAACTTATCATGCTGCAAGATACGACGGGGTTTTTCAATAATAGGGGAAATAGAAAGCATTCAACAAGAAGAGCTACTGCAATCTCAGATTCCGAAAAGAAGAGCAGCGGAGGGGCATGGAGAAGACATCTATCTGTCGTTGAGACTAGTTGTAGTCTGCGTTGATACAAAAATAAATTATATGCTAAAAAATTCAATTCATTTTTAGTTCTCTCATACCTGAATGTTTAACCAAAGATGTGGCACTTTTGGTAGTCCCCACACGTCATCTAGGGTGAGGATAAGATAGAATCTGACGAAGATGTTGTCCTAATCTGACGAAGATATTGACCGGATATCAGAAGCTGAAGCCCTCTTAAGTACAGCGACATCTGCTATTGGGTTGGTTACAAGGCATAAGTGACCCGACCTGATACCAATAAGGATACTAATATATATATGAAATCCCTATAACACAGTATGTGGATAACTTATTTTACAGCACCCCCTCAAACTAGTGAAAGAATCTTTTTCATTCGTAGCTTTTTCATCAACCTTACCAATGTAGGATCATGGAGTCATTTAGTGAACATATCTATCCATTGATCCTCAGATCAAACGTGGGGTGTGCAAAGAATCTTAGACTCAATTTTTTCATTCATGAATACTGATGTACTTCCACATGCTTCATACAATCACTGGATTGTGTGCAATGTCTTAAGGTCTCAACAGATATCCATAAATATTTATTTAGTGATCCATACAAGAAGTATATTTTTTTATCTTAGCTAAAACTGCAAATGTTTCATTATAGTTAATCTTATATTTTTTTAGTGTATCATTTTGCTGCTAATCTAGCCTAATGTAGCCTAATATATTGATCCATCAAAGGTATTGAATGGTAATTTTGTAAGGGATACATCATTTTGTCATTACTTTCTTAGTGAACTAGAGAATCTACTAAATTCTCTTATATCTATGTGGCTCATTTCACTCGCACACTCTCTTGGAACTGACAATTTCAAAATCCTTGGCTCACTTGTACAACTTTCACTAGGTTATTAGTTATACTAAGGATTAGTTTGAAATATCTTCAGTAAGTATATTACGGGCTAAATTCAAAGAAGGAATTAAATCCTTATTCTTCTTTCTAATATAAGTAATCTTATACCTATTTTCTAGATTTGAAATGTGGGATCTTAATTACTCTCTAAGAAATAAGTAGTTCCCTTGGTTCTTAGTTGGTTTATATTCTAGCTCATCTTTCGTTAGAAGTTCATTATTTTGTTTTATAATTATTTTCATTTTCATCAAATGTAACATCCATTATGTTATAGAATTTTTGCTTTTAGGGTCATAGTGTTTAAATTCCTTTTGCATAATAGAACATCTCATAAAGATGTACTTAAGTACTCTCAAGTCTAAGCTTTTAGTGTGGTATAGATGTACATGTGGTATGCACCCAAATATTTTGGGTGTGAGGTTTGTTCTAAGTCTTAAGTTTGGAATATGAAGTTTTATGACTTTGATTAGACTCTTCTTATCCAATATTCTAGATAGCCACCTATTAGTTATGTGAGTGGCTATAAATAGGGCTTTCCATGGATAAGACATTTTCTTAGATAAGAAGAGATATAATCACCCCTAATAAGCATCAATTATTCCTCTCCATAGTCCCATTTTTTTGGGGAGTATTCACACATGTTGTTTTGTTAATTATCTTTTGTGCTTCAAAAAATAAGACTAGATCTTTATTGATGTATTCTTTTTTATATTTTGAATCTAAACTATCTAATATTACTATTGCATTATTGTCTGGCCATTTGCAAGAAATAATTTATCATTTCTCCCACTTCTAATTTGTATTCTAGAACAATCATCTATGGATATGATGAAACACTGACATCTAGGGGTAATTTTCACTTGTGATGGCCCTCACACATTACTATGAGTTAAAATAAAAGTTTTAGAATATTTTAAATTTGAAGAAAAATAACTAGAGCATTGGTAGTTGGCTAATTGACAAGCTTAGCACATAAAAGAGTCATCATTAAGATCAATACGTCATTAGGGTGGAGAAATCGGATGTGATATTAGAGCTCTAGGTGCACACATTCTTAATGTCTCCAAGAATCTTATGAAATCATTAGTGAGGCTTGCATTGATTGATTTATAATTTGTTCATGCATGGGGGATTTGAAGGTTCATGCTTATTGGGATCATGAGACCCTAGAAAAAAGTAGAGGCCCCAAGTTTATCCCCAGTGTCAATTAGTGCAATGAAAGAGTACCTTAGGTGCTTCAACTCTTAAGAATCTCTTTTGAGAAGTACAAGCTCAATTATCTAAACCTACTACAGTGGGGGGAATACATGAAGATGTTCCTACCCTGCCAACGAAAGCTAAACCACCTGATGAGTGATAATCCTCATAGTCCATGACAAGCTAAGGGCCTCCACCATTTTCTAGGGTTTTTCGGTCTCAATAAACACGAAGATTGATGTCATAATCAACCATTTTCTCATAATATTGATTTTGAAGGATTTGGGAGAAAGCACACTACATGCACATAAAAATAAATGATGAGAGTGAAATCTCTCACCTCAAGAAAATATAAGTGATGAGAGTGCTAGAATATACAAATCAATTAGAAGCTACGTGGATGAAAATCAATTAGTATAGACTAGTTAGCAGTCTAGACTCAGAAGAAAGAAACTATGCATTGAAAAACTATAAATATAAGTTCTTATCATACTTAAATTCTCCATATGAACAGCTAGTTGGACAGCTACTGCACACTATCTAATAATATTTATAACTAAAACTTAATAAAATATTAGTATAGAAGTAAGTCTCAGGTCAAACACAAGGAGATTGATTAATCCATCGTGAAAATTAATTTAATTTATATATAAAGTGATTTTAATATTTTATTAATACTTAACAGAAATGATGAAATAGAAGGGTGAGGTGAGAAGAATAAAAGAAGGGAGGTGAAGAAAAGGAAGGAGGAAAAGAGAGAGAGAAGAGAGAGAAAAGAGAGAGCTCTCACGAGAGAGAGAAGGGATGAGATCTCTTGTGAAAGGGAGAGAGAGAAATAAGACAAAAATGAAGGTGCCTCCAACTTGTTTTAACTATTGAACACTCATTAATCAGCCTTTAATCTTGATGATTTCGCATTCAAAAACATAAAAATACTTGTTATTCGCAGAACACCGGGAACGTGAATATGTTGAGATTTGACTGCAAAAATCAATAGAAAATAAGTTAGAAACGATCATAGCTTGATCTCATACGAGTTTTGAAGGATTTAGAAGAAGAATGAAGATCATTTATCAAGTTTTGAATTAGTGCTACTCATTTCAATCGAAATGTGCATGAAATGAAAATAGCTTACCATAAAATGTAAATAAATGACAAAAGCAAGTAAGTAAATGCTGAAAGCAAGAAAGAAGTCGTTGCCTAAGTTTACTCTACCTCCTAGGCAACTGGAGACACCGGTGTGGCACTTGGTTCCGTTCGATCATGCCACACCATGCCAGAAGTCATAGAAGTATCATCCGGATGTGCTGTGCCGCTTATCAAAGAGATCCACCAAAAGAAGGGTCGACCACGCTGTCCCCATCATCTGGGGGAAGAAGGAAAGAGCTGACCACTCACTAATGGCCTTGAGTGCAGTCAGGGGAGGAAGGAAGAAGTTTGCTGATCGCCAAAGACGTTGATCACGCAAGAGGGAAGAACAGATTATGTACTTGCGACTACCGTCAGGATTTTAAAGATAATCGATAATGTATATTTTACTAGATAATAATCGATAATGTCTATTTTACTAGATAATAATCGATTATTGTCTTTATATCCCTGACGGTGATACGTGTGAGAACTTAAGTTCCCAATATCATGGCGCTCCGTGAGCCGTTGGATCAGATGAGCTTGGTCACATGGCTCTCTAAACGATGTAGGATCAACCCCCGTGAACCGCTGCCGATCGAGAACTTAAGTTTCGGAACCGTGGCGCCTCCATAGCCATCGGATCGGCCTTTAAGGTCACGTGCGTGCTGAGCGATGTTGGATTCATGAACCGCCGATGAATGCTTTACGCATCTAATATCGTGGCAGTTCGTCAACTATAGGATCAGGCTAATCGGATGATGTGGCTCTCTACATACCACTAGATCACACTGCGCTCCAGATGGTTGTGCTGAAATAGATGAAAACATTTAGTCCCACATTAGAAATATTTCAAAACATATGCCAAATATAAACTAAGGCTACATCTCTTAGTAGAGATCCCTTCTCCCGAAATAAAATAATACCTAAGACCATATTGGGAGAAGGCAATAAGGTGGCCACCCTAGCGTGAGTACATGTGAACAAACGCTCCTTGCCCCATGATCAGTTGGCCACCGAGACGTGGAAGGGGAGTGACGCACACGTGTGCAGAGCGAGGCCTTCGCCACTCGAGCCCAGCTCGATGCTCCCCCGGTCTAGGTCTACCCACTCAACCATTGTCCCCCCTTTGAGTTAGATGCCGACTACTAGACTTGCCAACAGGCAAAAGAATTTTATATATTTTATTATTTTAATTTTTATAATAAAAATTCATGCTAAGTATTCTAACTTCAGACTTCTAAAATTAACAATATATCTTATATTTATTCTACAAGTTAACACAATAAAATAAAATAATAAAACTAATTAAAACACATAATTCTAGCTTTAACAACTACTAAACTAAGAAAAAAAATCCTAATTTTGAGGATATAGTGACAATAATTATGTGAGAACAAACCAAGTTGACAATCTTGGGTGAAAATCAATAATTTGATAACCCAACATTAGTAGTAAAGAACACAATTAAATTGTTCACCAATTTTAGTCATAGTTGGGAATAGAAGAGTGAGACAAGCTCTTTAATAAGTCTTAATTACATAAATTAATAATATATCTTAGGACATAAATCATGATAAATAGAATTATATTTCTATTAAATTGAGAAAACAACTTTTTAATTTATTTTGATAAATTATGTGATTTTATGTGAATTTTAATCTTTTTTATAATCATGCTTTTAAGATAAATTTAAAAAAAGGGGGGGGACCCTACATGTAGTCGAGCCTACATCAATGGGGGCCAGTCAAGTGTGGGGCAAGGAGTGGTCGTACACACGTGTGTCTGTGGGGGTGGATCACTTGGCCTAGCCCTCTCCCCAGGTAGTATTGACCATTTTATTTATGGGAGTGAGAACTTAAAGGTAAAAGCATCTATCGACATATATTCATTTTATATTTTCTAAAATAATTGATATGGGATTATACCATACCACTGAGCACCTTCACTCCTTTTTGATATTGCTATACCAAAAATACCCCTATATGATAAAAAATATATATCCTTATGACATCATTTGATAAGAATAATCATATACTTATATGACTCTCTCTCATACAAGTGACAACTAGTGAAGTTTCTAAACCCACTAGAGTCAAATTTTATGAAAACTTTGTTAACATTATTCATGGATCATTGTTAACAATTGACCAAGGATTTCAAATACAAAAACTATAGATTCCTTGAGAAAATCATCTCCAATTGATCGATGAATTTAACAATTATCGAGAAGAGAATGATTTGCTAAGAAATGAGTCATTGCCTCATTAGAATGTATCAAATACAATATGAACCTCCTATTACTACACGGACTTGAAGAAGAAACTACTTGAGATGCACCTAACCTTCATTCAACTCATTTCACTAGGTGATAGTTGTTGGAGATCCAAAAGTCACCTAATTCTATTTCTTCAAGTGTCAGTTAACAAAAATCATATTTTTTGTGAACAATTTTGAAATTTTATCTAATGTTATCTTACATCTTCATGATCAACTTTAAAATATTTTACTATTTTTGAAATAATTTATCATATTATAATTAATTTATGTGTTAAAGTACTTTTAAATTTTAAATATTAATATTTTCAAGTGTCACTAATTTTAAATTTATGTGATTTATTATACAATGATTAAGTCAAGTCACTCTTCAAACTCTAACAAAGATAAATAGGATTAAAACCAAAAGTAGAGAATTGACCCTAAGGTAAACTTGGTGTACACATATTGTCATAAAATAAGATATGCTTAAGACAATTACTATAGTAGAAATAAGGGTACATGAGTGTATCACCCTCTCCCACTCAATGAAAGAATGTACATAAAAACAACACCATTAGTTCCTCTCAAGGGGAGGTGAACTTGACTCCCATCCTTCAACCAACACAAAATGTTTCCAAAGATGAGAAAATTGAGAGACTCAAGGAAGAGATCAAGAAGGTGTGACAACTTCTGAATTTAAGTTCAATTGCATCATCAGCAATCTCCTCAGTAATTTTTTTCCATATCCAACACTTCACTCTCATTAAGTTTCCATTCTCCATGTCATACAAATAAAGGTAAAGATATATAGATCTTAGATTTAGGAGCAAATAATCACATAACTCCACACAAAATGTTTTTTCAATTATATTAAACTTCCTTTAAGGGTAGACAAATCCTAACATCCAAGAGTAAACTTATACCCTTAGTTGATATAGGATTCATTCATATTCAAAAATATGAAGAATCTATCTAGTACTTCATGTCCTCTTGTTGTTGACCAACTTGATCTCACTAAGTAAACTTAGATGCTCCCTAATTCATGACCTTTTGATTACTCTCAATGGATATGTTTTATATGACAAGGACACATATTGAAGGATTGGACTTACTAAATGTTTGATAATGGTATCAGATTTCTGGCCCACTAAGGCCCATTATTTATCTCTCTCTATCATCTCTCCTCTCTCCTCTCTCCTCTCTCCTATATAAGAGTCATGTATTCTATCTTAATGCTGCATAGATTCTAGGATTTTCTCCTCTCGTGTCAATATGGTATCAGAGCCCTAGGTATCCCTCGTCTTCCTCCCCCTCTCTGGTGCGCCACCCGTCTTCAGCATGCCACTCTCCTCCTCGCTAGCCTCTTCCCTCCTCGATCAGCTCTTTAGTGGTGCCACTCTTCCCTCTTCCGACATTGTCGTCTCTATCATCTCTCTCCTTCTCCTTTCGGCGCCACCCTCCTCCCCGCCATCACCCCTCACCAATGTCGTTGCTCTCCTCCTCTTTTTTGGTGTCTCCACTATCACCGTTGCCATTAAGGCATGATAAGTCTTCATTATCATGAGTTAATAATTAGTAAATAATATAGTTTTAGCCTTAACTCATGATAAATAGACTTATATTTGTGTTAAAGTGTGAAAAGTGGTTTTCAGTTGATTAATGTGAATTTTTAGGTAATTATGTGATTTTACATGAATTTATATGATTTTTACAATCTTGCTTTTGAGATAAATGAAGAAAAAGAAATAAAAATAAGATAAAATAAGGGGGGGACCCGCCGGCCAGCCGGGCCCGCAAGCGGGTCGGAAGCTCAGTCGGGGAGTAGCCGCGAGCAGGGGCTCAAGCGGCTTGGACTGATAGGGGCACGTGTGCGCCACTCCCCTTCCAAGTCACCGGTGGCCAGCCGGCTATGGGGCAAGGAGTGGTCGTACACGCGAGAGAAGGAACTTTGTTTAGAAAGCTAACATTAGTATATATTCGTCCGAAAAATAGGCGCACAACCGATGTGGGACTAAACCCGCGTCACACCTTCCTCAGAAGGGGCGGACAACCGGCGCAGGTTCAAATCCTCCCAGAGTCAAAATTCATATATTTTTATCTGATTATCGTGACTTTCCTGCAGATCGTCGGTGAAGGATTAAGCAATGAGAATCGCTGGATCATTGGCGAAAATCTCGTCAACGCGATTCGCGGAGCATTGCTACTAAAATTGCTGAACGATTCGCGATAAAAGGATCACGAATCCATCAAGTAAACCATCTCCGATTGATCGACGAACAAGCTGTTGTCGAGAAGAGGACGATCCGCCAGAAGACGAGTCGCCACCTCCTGAGAGTGTACCAGATGCGATGAAGAGCCTCCTCTTGCTGCGCGAACCTAAGGATGAAGCTCCCTGACACGCGCCCCACCTCCATCCAGCTCCTTTCCGTCGGGTGACAGCCACCGGAGAGCCGCAAAGTCGCCGTTTTTCCGCTCTGCCGGGTGACAGCTGCCGGAGACGACTCGATGACCCATTTCATTAATCTCTAGACTTCACGAGAAGATCTAGAGATTGCCCACATCGTCTTTGTCCAAGGAGAGCCTTCGAGGCCATGGACACTGCACGACGATCCTCCCGAACACTCAGAATTCCGGTGCATCGCCGACGCATCGCCGTCGCGACGTCGGAACTCTGTTTTCCTGCTTTTAACTTACTTTACGCTTCATTTAGTGATACTTTTCATGATTTTAATTTACCAAAATATACTTTGTTCTATTACGATTCTTTTGGCTTTTACATATCTTAATTTGATTAATTAAATCGTCTGTAATCGCTTACGTAAAAATCGTCAGGCGGAACTCTATTTCTGCCCGATTCACGTTCGCCGGGCGCTGATGTCATCCTAACATCCGCACCCTTATTTCCTTTTTTTTCATGAATTTAAAATATATTTCCTTTTTTTCATGAATTTAAAATATATTTCCTTTTCATTTCTTAGTATAAAATTCATAGAAAATAGTATTCTTTGAAGAAAATTCTGAATAATTACCAAATATTATATTACATCCCTGTGATCGACTTGGAAAATTACTGCTATTTTTTTGAATTTTTATGGAATTATAATTGATAAATTTATTTAGAAATACTTCTAAATATCTGAAAATTCATATTTTCTAGTTTTATAAATGTTATATTTGTGTTATTTAATATACAACGACTAAGTCACGTCAAGGCCCCTCCTCGCCATTGCGCCCTCGCTATCAGCCCATTGTAGGTGCCATCACTCTCAGGTGCCGAGGGCGTCACTGCTGCCGTCACGCCCTCACCATCACGCTCTTGTCATCACGCCCCAACCCTCACCATTGCCATCGCAGGCACTGCCACTGTCTGGCCTTGGCAGCAAGAGTTTGCCCGTTTCCTCATGTGGCATCATCTCATCAGCTTATGAACATCTTCACAAAGAGTATGGCAGGCATCTTTTATAATGTTACGTGTACCAACTTGAGTATGTTTAACTTATATGCTTCAACCTAAGGGGGAGTTATTCGATAGTGGTATCAAACTCTCAACCCACTATGGTCTATTATCTATCTCTCTCTCTCATCTCTCATCTCTCCTCACTCCTCTTTTCTATGTAACAATCATGTATTCTATCTTGAGGTTATATGAATTCTAAGATTTTTCCCTCTCATGTCAACACTAAAGAAAGAGAAAACTAATATTATATAGGAAGAATTAGAGGAATGAAAAAAGAACACCCATGAATAACTCAAGTAATAGAGGTGACCCAAAAAGTGAAATCTAAGAAGAGTCACATGTCAAAGGACCAATTGTCTTTGATTCACTGATGCCTAAGACACCCATCTATTATGACTCTTAGGAATTTGTATCTGAATTTATGTAATGAACTTGATGACAATAATTTTATTTGTGAGACATGTCAATTAACTAAGTATAGAAGATCAATTTATCTTTCTTCTAACTCAAAATGTCTTGACCTTTTGATCTCATTCATAGTAATGTGATGGTACCAACATAAATATTCACTACTTATGAATATCATTGATCCATTATTTTCATAGATGATTAAATCCGATAACATGAGTGGACTTGATGAGTCACAAATTAGAAGTAATGAAAAAATTAAATGTTTTCTTTCAAATAGTGAAACAACAATTCAACATTACTATTAAATATTTTAGATTTAATATTGCCAAGGACTATATTAACAAAGATTTAGTCCGATTCTTTCAAACAAATAGAATAGTTCATGAGATGTATTGTGTAAACATTTTAGAACAAAATAAAATTGTAGAAAAGGACCAACACTTATTAGAAGTGACCAAGACTCTTTTTATTCAAGGGAATATCCTAAATCATTTATGAGGGGAGGCTTTACTTACGACTACCTATCTAATAGAGGCCATAAAATCTCACATTTATAGAGCAAAACTCAAAACTAACTTTCCACACAGTGTTTTTGTGTGTTTTGTACATATATTTATATGGCAAAAAACTTGATCAAAGAGCACTTTAATGCATACTCTTAGTATATTTAGTAACACAAAAGGGTTATAAATAATGACCTTAAAAATTAAAAATTTTACATTACTCAAGATGTCACCTTCAATGAAGATGAAAATTCTTAAAATACAAATCAGAACTTAATTCTAAGGATTCTCCACCTCTAGAAAAGGGGAGTGATCAGACCACATCTCAAGGAAGCTATTTATTTCCTTTTGATGAGGTGGAGTCAAGAAAGTAGAATTTAAAAAGAAGGTTTGTATAGACCTATAGTAAAAGGAAGAGAGAACAAAACTCATGCACAAATCCAAGGAGAGCTCTAATTCATGAGTCTAAATCAGATCCTCCATCAAAACAACAAGAAAACTCGATATGCTTGTTAATTTGTCATGATATTAATAATAATAAAATAAATTATTTGCATAATTATTATCTTTGCTTCAATTATCTATTGCACACTCTTTATTTCTTGAAACATTTAGGATATATTCTCATCCTAACTACACTTTCTAATGCCTTGAACAATTTAGAGTCGAAAGGTTATGGAGGTAGAAATGAGTCATTAATTAAGAATGATACATAGAAATTAGTTAAACTCCTTAAATATAAAAGGATTGTAGGTGGTAATGGGTATTTATCATTATATATAACCCCAATGCACCGATGGAAAGGTATAAGACATGATTAGTCATCAAAGATACACCCAAAAACTCAAAATTAACTACAGTGAGACCTTGGCATCGGTGGCCAAGATGAATATTAACGTGACTCAGTCGTTGTATAGTAAATCACGCAAATTTAAAATTTATAAAACTAGAAAATACGAACTTTTAGATATTTAGAAGTATTTCTGAGCAAATATATCAATTATAATTCAATATAAATTTAAAAAATAGCGGTAATTTTTCAGGTCGATCACAAGGATGTAATATAATATCTGGTAATTATTCAGAATTTTTCTCAAAGAATACTATTTTCTATGAATTTTATACTAAAACATGGAAAGGAAATATATTTAAAATTCACAAAAAAGGGAAATAAGGGTGTGGACATCAGGATGACATCAGCGCCCGACGAATACGAATCAGACGAAAATAGAGTTTTGCCCGACGATTCTTACTTAAGCAATTACAGACAATTTAATTGATCAAATTAAGATTTATAAAAGCCAGAAGAATCGTAATTGAGTGAAGTATTGGTTGGTAAATTTAAAATCAATAAATTATCACTAAATAAAGTAAAAATTAAGTGGAAAGTAGGAAAATAGAGTTCCGGCGTCGCGGCGGCGATGCGTCAGCAATGTACCGGAATCCTGAGCGTTCGAGAGGATCGTCGTGCAGTGTCCATGGCCTTGAAGGCTCTCCTTGGACAAGGACGATATGGGCATCTCTAGATCTCCTTGTGAAGTCTAGAGATCAATGAAATAGGTCGTCGAATCGTCTCCGGTGGCTGTCACTCGGCGGAGCGGAAAAACGGCAACTTTGCAGCTCTCTGACAGCTATCACCTGACAGAGAGGAGCTGGATGGAGGTGGGGTGCGTGTTAGGGAGCTTCATCCTCAGGTCTGTGTAGCAAGAGGAGGCTCTTCATTGCATCTAGTACGCTCTCAAGAGGTGGCGACTCGTCTCCCGGCGGATTGTCCTCTTCCCGACGACGGCTTGTTCGTCGATCAATCAAAGATGCTTTACTTGATGGATTCGTGATCCTTTTATCGCGAATCGTTCAGCAATTTTAGTAACAATGCTCCGCGAATCGTGTTGACGAGATTTTCGCCGATGATCCAGCGATTCTAGTTGCTTAATCCTTCACCAGCGATCTGCAAGAAAGTTGCAATAATCAAATAAAAAATATGAGTTTTGGCTCCGGGAGGATTTGAATCCACGCCGGTTGCTCGCCCTTTCTGGGGAAGGTGACACGGGTTTAGTCCCACATCGGTTGTGCGCCGAAGTTTCTGACGAATATATAGTAATATTACATTTCTAATCAAGTCCCTTTCTCGCGCGTGTATGACCACTCCTTGCCCCATAGCCGGCTAGCCACTGGTGATGTAAAAGAGGAGTGACGCACACGTGCCCCTTATTGATTCAAGCCACTCGAGCCCCTGCTCGCGACTACTCCCCGATTGCGCTTTCGACCCACTTGTGGGCTCGGTTGGCTGGCGGGTGATAAGTCTTCATTATCATGAGTTAATAATTAGTAAATAATATAGTTTTAGCCTTAACTCATGATAAATAGACTTATATTTGTGTTAAAGTGTGAAAAGTGGTTTTCAGTTGATTAACGTGAATTTTGAGGTAATTATGTGATTTTATACGAATTTATATGATTTTTACAGTCTTACTTTTGAGATAAATGAAGAAAAAGAAATAAAAATAAAAATATTGTAAAATGGGAGGGACCCGCCGGCCAGCCGGGCCCACAAGCGGGTCGGAAGCGTAGTCGGGGAGGAGCCGCGAGTAGGGGCTCGAGCGGCTTGGACCGATAGGGCACGTGTGCGCCACTCCCCATCCACGTCACCAGTGGCCAGCTAGCTGTGGGGCAAGGAGTGGTCGTACATGTGTGAGAAAGGGACTTACTTATAGATCTAACATTACTATATATTCGTCCAAAAATTCAGCGCACAACCGATGTGGGACTAAACCCCACCTTCCCAGAAGGGGCGGGGCAACCGGCGCGGGTTCGAATCCTCCCAGAGCCAAAATTCATATTTTTATATGATTATCGCGACTTTCCTGCAAATCGCTGATGAAGGATTAAGCAACCAAAATCACTAGATCATCGATGAAAATCTCATCAACGCGATTCGCGGAGCATTGTTATTAAAATTGCTGAACGATTTGCGATAAAAGGATCGCGAATCCATCGAGTAAATCATCTCTGATTGATCAACGAATAAGCCATCATCGGGAAGAGGACGATCCGCCGGGAGACGAGTCGCCACCTCCTGAGAGTGTACCAGATGCGATGAAGAGCCTCCTCTTGCTACGCGGACCTGAGGATGAAGCTCCCTAACACGCGCCCCACCTCCATCTAGCTCCTCTCCGTCAGGTGACAGCCGTCGGAGAGCCGCAAAGTCACCATTTTTCCGCTCTGCTGGGTGACAGCCGCCAGAGACGATTCGATGACCCATTTCATTGATCTCTAGACTTCAAAAGGAGATCTAGAGATTGCCCATATCATCTTTGTCCAAGGAGAGCCTTCAAGGCTGTGGACACTACACGACGATCCTCTCGAACACTCAGGATTCCAGTGCATCATCGACGCATCGCCGCCGCGACGCCAGAACTCTGTTTTCTTGCTTTCAACTTAATTTCCGCTTCTTTTAGTGATAATTTGTTGATTTTAAATTTACCAAGATATACTCCATTTCATTACGATTCTTCTGGCTTTTACAAATCTTAATTTGATCAATTAAATCGTCTGTAATTGCTTACGTAAGAATCGTCGGGTGGAACTCTGTTTCCACCCGATTCGCATTCGTCGGGGGCTGACGTAATCCTGACGTCTGCACCCTTATTTCCCTTTTTCATGAATTTTAAATATATTTCCTTTTCATTTCCTAGTATAAAATTCATAGAAAATAGTATTCTTTGAAGAAAATTCTGAATAATTACCAGATATTATATTACATCCCTGTGATCGACCTAGAAAATTATCGCTATTTTTGGAAGTTTTATTGAATTATAATTGATATATTTGTTCAGAAATACTTCTAAATATCCAAAAAATCATATTTTCTAGTTTTATAAATTTTAAATTTACGTGATTTACTATACAACGACTGAGTCACATCAGCGGGTCCCCCCCATTTTGTTATATTTTTATTTTTATTTCTTTTTCTTCATTTATCTCAAAAGTAAGACTGTAAAAATCATATAAATTCATATAAAATCACATAATTACTCAAAAATTCATGTTAATCAACTGAAAACAACTTTTTTCACTTTAACACAAATATAAGTCTATTTATCATGAGTTAAAGCTAAAGATATATTATTTATTAATTATTAACTCATGATAATGAAGACTTATCATACCCCCCAACTTAAATCATTACTAGTCCCTTAGCAATGAAATTGCAAAATAAAAATTTACAAATCTCAAACATCATATGTCAATACATAAAAATAAAAAAATACAATTAGAAATGATGCACCTTTAGACACTTTGGACTCTTATATCAAGTATTTAAGAATGATGTCGAGCACTTAAATATTTATATCAAGTATTTAAGAATCGTGAGCCTATTAATGCAGCAATCTAGACTTCACTTCTTCTATTCACATCTTTATCACTTCTTCACTCATAGATATATTTACAAGATGTTCCAATTATCAATACTCATCCAAGAATAATATTGATCCTACATTTCTCTTTTTCCATGGCTTAATTTTTAAAGTTTACACTATATTTCTTCCTTCTTTTTTTTATTTTATATATATATAGTGGATAAATAGCTTTTCCTGTAGACAAATTTTGACAATAAGAATGATGTCTCACACCTTCCATGTGTACTCTTCATTTTGAGGGCTTTCACTTTATCCACTTATTTTGCAGCAAGTGTTTTTCTATACACGATTTTCGACAATGAGAATGATGTCTCACACCCTCCATGTGTACTCTTCGTTTCTAGATTTCTCACATTGCTCTCTTTCTTCTTCTTTTTTTAAAATAAGTGATTTCTTTTCACAAGTTCTATAGATCAGGGTGCAAAAATCTCCATTAAACTCAAATGATCAATCAAATTTTCACATCAAGTAAATACTATCCATCAAGATCATGAAAATCTGTAAAATCAAATTCATGTCATCTATCATGTATCTAAGGAGTATTCTAGCATTTCATGCTACTAGATCATTCTTTTGACTCAATAATAATCTTTCTTGTATCTTCTGGTATCAATCAATCTAATTGATTTTAACTTTATAATGTTTTAATAACGGCTCACGCTTTTTTAATAATCTTTTTTATGATTATGCCGGCGATGATAGGTGGATCTAGTAATTGGTATGTTCCGATTCTGATAGGTGCACTTGACATGGCATTTCTACTATTAAATAATATATCGTTCTAGTTGTTGCCACCAAGTCTCTTGCTCTTATTAAGCCCAGCCTTACGCTAAAAGCACGTCAAGATTAATGATGTCTAATATCCATCATGCAGCTTGGAATTTTTCATGCACGCAATATGATGTAAGAAATTTTCACATTAGATAGTTTTGACAGTTCTATTTTCTGTTTTCAGCTTTGTTTTTAACAACAATAAATTTGTCAAAAATAAATCAAAACTATCCTCTTTATAGCTGTAATTTTGAATTTCAGTAATATATGTCTAGGGGATTGAAATGTGAGAAAAGGGTCTCTAGAATTTAAAATTTTAGGTTGTTTTTTGTCTGTTGTTTTTGACAATTGACGTGACTCAGTCGTTGTATAGTAAATCACGTAAATTTAAATTTATAAAACTAGAAAATACGAATTTTTGGATATTTAGAAGTATTTCTGAACAAATATATCAATTCTAATTTAATAAAACTTCCAAAAATAGCAGTAATTTTTCAAGTCGATCACAGGGATGTAATATAATATTTGGTAATTATTCAGAATTTTCCTCAAAAAATACTATTTTCTATGAATTTTATACTATTAAATAAAAAAGAAATATATTTAAAATTCACGAAAAAGGGAAATAAGGGTGCAAACGTCAGGATGACGTCAGCGCCCGGCGAACGCGAATCAAGCGAATATAGAGTTCCGCCCGACGATTCTTACGTAAGCGATTACAGATGATTTAATTGATCAAATTAAGATCTGTAAAAGCCGAAAAAATCGTAATGAAATGAAGTTATCTTGGTAAATTAAAATCACATAAATTATCACTAAATGAAGTGTAAAGTAAGTTGAAAGCAGGAAAACAGAGTTCTGATGTCGCGGCGACGATGCGTCGGCGATGCACCAGAATCCTGAGCGTTTGAGAGGATAGTCGTGTAGTGTCCACAACCTCGAAGGCTCTCCTTGGACAAGGACGATGTGGGCAATCTCTAGATCTCCTTGCGAAGTCTAGAGATCAATGAAATGGGTCGTCGAATTGTCTCCGGCGGCTGTCACCCAATGGAGCAGAAAAATGGCAACTTTGTGGCTCTCCGACGGCTGTCACCCGACGGAGAGGAGCTGGATGGAGGTGGGGCGCGTGTTAGGGAGCTTCATCCTCAGGTCCGCACAGCAAGAGGAGGCTCTTCATCGCATCTGGTATGCTCTCAGGAGGTGGCGACTCGTCTCTCGGTAGATCGTCCTCTTCTTGACGATGGCTTGTTCGTCGATCAATCGGAGATGCTTTACTCAATGGATTTGCGATCCTTTTATCGCGAATCGTTCAGCAATTTTAGTAACAATGCTCCGCGAATCGTGTTGACGAGATTTTCGCCGATGATCCAGCGATTCTGGTTGCTTAATCCTTCACCGGCGATCTGCAGGAAAGTCGCGATAATCAAATAAAAAATATGAATTTTAGCTCTAGGACGTTTTGAACCCACGTCGGTTGCCCGCCCCTTCTGGGGAAGGTGACGCGGGTTTAGTCCCACATCGGTTGTGCACCGAATTTTCAGGCGAATATATAGTAATGTTAGATCTATAAGCAAGTCCCTTTCTCGCGCGTGTATGACCATTCCTTGCCCCACAGCCGGCTGGCCACCAGTGACGTGGAAGGGGAGTGGCGCACACGTGCCCTATCAGTCCAAACCGCTCGAGCCCCTACTCGCGGCTCCTCCCCGACTGCGCTTCCGACCCGCTTGCGGGCCCGGCTGGCCGACGGGTCCCCCCATTTTGCAATATTTTTATTTTTATTTCTTTTTCTTTATTTATCTCAAAAGTAAGACTGTAAAAATCATATAAATTCATATAAAATTACATAATTACCCAAAAATTCATGTTAATCAACTGAAAACCACTTTTCACACTTTAACACAAATATAAGTCTATTTATCATGAGTTAAAGCTAAAACTATATTATTTACTAACTATTAACTCACGATAATGAAGACTTATCAACAGTCTATTGTTCTTGACAGAAAACCAGAAAATAGATGTTGTAGTTTTTCTGAATTTTATTTTATTTTTATTTTTTTTAGTTGTTGTTCTAAGTTGAATAAAATGCAAACACATGTTCTTAATCGTCCTACATTATAAATTAATAATTAATACTTCAGCCCCCAACTTAAAAATGACATTGTCCTCAATGACATAGAAAAATCGAAACAGAATATGCAGAAAATATAATTTTCAAGTGAAGCATGCATATGTGCAAAGTTAAGCATTAAAAATATTGTCATAAATGATAAAGCTCAGAAAGACATCACCTCAACCTCGTTTTTAATTTTCCACTTCATCTTACACTCTTCCTCCTGCACTTTTTCGAAAAAACAAATACAGAAATAAGTATTGTGAAATTCTAAGAAAAACAAAGCTTAAAAAAAATCAAATAGAATGAAATAAAAATCATGGGTTAACTCCCATGCAGCGCTGAATTTAATGTCTTCAGCTGGACAGTTCTTAGATCATATAAGATGATCTATGGCCATCAAAATATATTTGTATCCCAAGGTAAGTTTCATGATATTCTTTTTCAGATTTAGCATAAATTTATATACTTCATATATATACCTTGACATACTTTCAGCCAAAAAAAAATGAAAATTAACAAAATTTTCCCAAAAATAATATTTCCATTTTGAAAAGAATATTTCCTCATTTCTATCTTTTGTAAGGCTCTCATTCATTAATAAATACTTTCTATTAATAGACCATAAAATGTGATCAAGCCATATAATTTTCAAATTAGCTCTTACCCAATCTAGAATTTTTTCATCTAAATTGATATCTCTAATTCTTTCATTCATCCATTTCTTAATGTCTTCTTTTATCTACATAATCTTCCCCTAATCCATTTTATCTTTCATACATATTTGTTAAATTTGCGAGGAATGAAATATTTCAAGCTTAGAAGTAATTCTAATGGGTTGTGGGTTTTGAAGGATGGAAGGATTGTCTTCTTTAATCTCAGATCTAATGAATTCAGTAAAAATCAAATTTTCTCCTCCAAAATTATCTCTATGTTCATATCAATTATTTTCGTTTC